TGCGCTGGAATTCGGGGATACTACGGACTGTGGATAAGGTACCTTCACCGTCCGACCAGGTTGCGAAAAGGTGAATAAACAATAGAAAATAAAGGCTCTGATCCCAGAGTACTAAAGATAATTGTCCAATATGTCCGAAATAAATTGTATAGTGAAGAGGTGCCAACGAAAAAAGTGGTCAATTTATTCCGAATTTTAATACAGATAAAAATAAAGCAATCAAAAAAGTAAAATGAGTTATAACCTCATAAGCTAACTGTAAAAAATATTGAGGACCTACAAGAAGAGTTTGCCATGAAAATATGAAGATAATAATAGCAAATATGAAGAATCAAGGCTAAATGCTTTGTTAATAAATGCAAAATATGTTATTGCATTGTGCATAACTTCGAGGATATGAAAGAGGAAGTTTCAAAAGAGACCACATTCCTTCAAATTACTCTTGATGATAACATCAATAGCAGCATCGAAGACAAATTGGACATTGCTAGTATCAGTGGCACAGGTAAAGTGAGTGTAAATCTCTTTCACTCCGACTCTGTTGTTCAAACCTTCAAAACGTTGTCGTATGTATTGCGAGGCCTCATCGTAATTGTCGCCACCTAGGAATTTAAAAAACATTGAAGATAAAGATTTCAAATAATATTTAGCCAAAGTAAATAATAGCGTGTATATGGGTTTTTATATTTGAAACTTAATCAGAATGCATACATATAAGTGCTGACTAATTAAAAAAACTACAATCTAAAATAAATAATGGCCGACAGCAAACGACTCTAGCGAAAGTCCAGCAAATGGGAAGAACTATTTAAGCGAGAAACGATACGATTATTTGTTTATATTTTTACTACCATTGCTAATAGAAATAAAAAAACTTCCGTGGATAGCATGTGGTTAAAATGCGTATGAGAAATATAATATAATCTAACATGAAAATAGCAAGTCGTTTCGAATAAGAGGCGCTTGCTATGATCAATATATATGGGAAAAAGTCAAGATATTGGCATCGTGACAATATTGCGCACGTGATAACATGAAAGTACATCTTCAAAGTAAATTATAAATTTTGTGAGCAGCAATATGAGTCGCCAATGAATTAGCGACTTCCTGAATCTCTAAGAAAAGCGCGAGAAGACTCAATGAGATAAATTAAGAAGTATATTGAGAGGATGTAGCTACACATTTTAGAATACTTTAAAATAGATGCAGATTCAAATTATAAGTAGTTTATGCAAAAATATAAAGATGGCAGGCCTATATTACTTATATTAACAAGTCTTCGTATATCCTTGAAAGATAATGGAAGCAATACATAAATAAGAAAATCAAGCCAAATAGTAATAGATCAAATTTTCATTTTAAAGAAACCTAAATTTAAAGGTTAACATGCTATGCATCATACCCGAATACTCTGGAAAGCATACAGATAATGGGAATTTCCTTATCTTATCCTGAAAAAGATCTTTTTTATTGAGAAAGAGAGCAATGCTGGTGTCTGCAAACCATTGACCGTTGCAAATATATGCAAAGAGTTTCAGAGATTCTGTCATTCGATTCTAAAAAGCGAAAAAAATCGGGAAATAGTGAATAAAGTAGGCATCAATTAAATATAAACTAAATATACCATTTCCTGATCTTCGGCCAGGGACATATTATATTCACTTAATGCTACAAAGAAAATCAACAAAGTGATATCCTC